CTCAAAAAAAAAAAAAAAAAAGTCCACAAGATATATATTGAAAGAGTTCTCTTCCAGTCTTGACTCTGGTCACTCAATTCTGCTGTCCAGAGACAACCAATGTTAAAATTTTCTTATGTCTCCTCCAGAGACATTCAGTGCATATCTCTTTTTCCTTATTCACATGGTAGCACACAGTGTACTATGTACATGCTATATGGTGCAATTTACCATGCCCACTTACTATCTTGAGGATCAGATATTAGTCCATAATAATGCATAATACTGCATTTATGGATATAAGATCATTAATCAGTTTCATCTTCACAAACCTTTATTTTTTAATTTTATTTTATATTTTGAGATGGAGTCTTGCTGTGTTCCCCAGGCTGGAGTGCAGTGGTGCAATCTTGATTCACTGCAATCTCCATCTCCCAGTTCAAATGATTCTCTGGCCTCAGCCTCCCGAATAGCTGGGATTATAGGCACCTGCCACCATACCGGGCTAATTTTTGTATTTTTTTTAGTAGAGACAGGGTTTTACCATGTTGGTCAGGCTGGTCTGGAACTCCTGACCTCAAGTGATCTGCCCACCTCGGCCTCACAAAGTGCTGGGATTACAGGTGTGAGCCACTACCTCCGGCCTTAACAAACCTTTATGTTATTCCTTTTTTTTGGAGATGGAGTCTCTCACTCTGTCGCCCAGGCTGGAGGGCAGTGGCATGATTGTGGCTCACTGCAACCTCCATCTCCAGGGTTCAGATAATTCTCCTATCTCAGTCTCCCAAGTAACTGGGACTATAGGCGCACGCCACCACACCTGGCTAATTTAATTTATTAAAAAATTTTTAGTACAGACGGGGTTTCACCATGTTGCCCAGGCTGGTCTTGAACTCTTAAGCTCAGGCAATCTGCCTGCTTTGGCCTCCCAAAATGCTAGGATTACAGGCATGAGCCACCACATTTGGCCCAAACCTTTACATTATTTCTAATATTTGGTTATAAAACGAGAGCTGTGATGACTAATGTTGACATACATCATTTTGCACTTGTGCGGTGTGTTTGCTGAATACCTTCCTAGAGGTGGAATTGCAGGGTCACATTGTGGGTTTGTTAGATACTGCTATGTGACTGGCCCTTTACTTGTTTACACTTTCATCAGCAATATCATAACATTTACATTGCAGTTCCAGTGAACTGTTTGGGCAAGGGCTCAGGTATTTGGCCAAGGTCATGTGGTAACTGACTTGCTCAAGGTCACAAAGCTGTGAGAGGTAGGACTCCATCTACCTGTCCATCAACAGTACTCACACAGCTCTGCTCCCCATTAGGTATGACAATCGGTGCCGGAACCTGAACCAGGAGCAGGTGGCCCAGAAGCTGGCCAAGGCCCCCAAGCCTTCGATCCGCTTCCGCCTGGAGGAGGCAGCGCCGGCCTTCCAGGACCTGGTGTATGGCTGGAATAGGCATGACGTGGCCAGCGTGGAGGGAGACCCAGTCATCATGAAAAGTGACGGCTTCCCCACATACCACCTGGCCTGCGTGGTGGATGACCACCACATGGGCATCAGCCATGTGCTGCGGGGCTCTGAGTGGCTCGTCTCCACTGCCAAGCACCTGCTCCTCTACCAGGCCCTGGAATGGCAGCCGCCCCACTTCGCCCACCTCCCCCTGCTCCTCAACAGGGATGGCAGCAAGCTCTCCAAGAGGCAAGGGGACATTTTCCTGGAGCACTTCGCTGCTGATGGCTTCCTGCCTGATTCCTTGGTGGACATCATCACCAACTGTGGCTCAGGTTTTGCAGGTACCTGCCCACCTGAGCAGTCCCAGCAGCAGAGAGCATGGCCAGGAGGAGCAGGGGTTTGGCTCAGATAGGCCTGCTCTTTGGTTCCCAGCTGCTTTGCCACCTACCAGCCAGGTGACCTTGGACAAGTTCATTCTTTTATTCAACAAACGTTTATTGTGCCAGACGCTGCATTAAGTGCTGGGGCTACAATAGTGAGCAAGATAGACATGATCCCTGTCCTCAAGGGGCTTACAGTCTCTGAGCCTCAGTTGCCTATCTGCAAAATGCGGATAAGTGTCTATCTCATTGGATTAGGATTCACTGAGCTTAGGAGTGTAAGGTACCCAGCCCAGCAGCTGTCACACAATAAGCACAAAAAATGACAGACCCTATGATTATAACAGTTACATTATTACTGCTATTACAAGCATGTATGCTAATAGTATGACCAGTATTCATATGGATCTAGTTTCTTTTTTTCCTTTTTCCTTTTACTGCCAGATGAGTCTAGTTTATTTCAAGCTGAGAACTTATCCATGGTCCAAGGCTTAGACCCAAATCTTGAAGAAGCAAGCATCAAATAGGATGACCCCCTTTGTGGCAAGGATTTTTGAAAATGTGTCCAGAATAGTCTGCCCGCCAGTCTCATTTCATTTAACACAACATACTATTAAGGGGTAGATACATCCACTGTTTGTAAGAGGATTGCGAGGCTCAGAGAAGCTGAGTAACTTGCCACAGTCACACACCTAGTGAGAGAGAATGGCATTTTAGGCCTATGCCTGATCATGACGCCTGCAACCCTGTGGGACTGAGCTGCTGCTCACAAGAAGCAGCTCCCAGCACCATGGTTCTTAACTGTTGACTGTGCTTTGGAATCAACTAGGAAGCTTGTAAAATACGCCCAGACCCCAACCAAAACCAGTCGACTCAGAGTCTCCGGTACAGCCAGGCTGTGGGTGTACTGTTCCACAGCTCATGTCTTGAGAGTAATGGGGATGGGTTTAGCTTGATTGTTTTCAGACTTTTTTTTTCTTTAACGACAGAACCCTTTCTGAAAATTAAGAGCTCATTCAGCCTCTTGATATATACATAGCTAGAAGTTAAATCCGTTTATTCAAGTGGAATGTGGGGCCCAGGGCTTGCTAACCCAGCCTCCCTTGTGTTTGAAACTAGAAGGAGGGCAGGTGCAGTGGCTCATGACTTAAGCCCAGCACTTTGGGAGGCCAATGTGGAAGAATCATTTGAGCCTGGGAGTTTGAGACTAGCCTGGGCAATATAGCGAAACTCCGTCCCTTCAGAAAAAATTATTTATTTATTTATTTATGAGCCAGAGCCTCACTCTGTCACCCAGCCTGGGATGCAGTTGTGTGATCTTAGCTCACTGCAACCTCCACCTCTCAGGTTCAAGTGATTCTTCTGCTCAGCCTCCAGAGTAGCTGGGATTACAGGTGTGCACCACCATGCCTGGCTAATTTTTGTGTTTTTAGTAGAGACGGGGTTTCACCATGTTGGCCAAGCTGGTCTGGAACTCCTGACCTTGTGATCTGCCCACGTTGGCCTCCCAAAATGCTGGGATTACAGGTGTGAGCCACCATGCCTGGCCCTATAGAAAAATTTAAAAATTAGCTGGGTGAGGCAGGCTGGAGGATCACTTGAGCCCGGGAGTTGGAGGTTACTGTGAGCTATAATTGTACCACTGCACTCCCATCTGGGCAAGAGAGCAAGACCATGTCTCTTAAAAAAGGAGATAAAGTGGAAGGAGGAAGAGAGGAAGGAACCTGAGTGGCTGGGCCTCTCTTCTTTACAGGGAACCAGATGGGCAGGACTCTGCCAGAGCTGATCACACAGTTCGACCTGACCCAGATCACCTGCCACTCAGCCCTGTTGGACCTGGAGAAGCTCCCAGAATTCAACAGGTGAGTGGGGAGTGTGGCGAATCCCCTGGTGGGAAAGGACTTTCTTGCTCTTGACAGTCCCTACAGCAGAGGGGATAACAGGCTCTGGTACCTAATTCTGTGTGACCATGGCTAAATCACCTAACCTCTTTGAGCCTCTGTTTCCTCTTCTCTAAAATGGGATTAATAACATAATCCCATTTTATATATACAACAATCATATAAGATTGTTGCATGAAGGTATCTCGTATAGCCCTGGCACATAGAAAGTGCTCACTAAATGGTACGTATGTTTTTATCATGAGCATTGTGTTCCTGGCCACCCCTTGTCTGGACTCTGTTAACAACCAAAGCCTGGAGAGGGGTATCTTCATTTTAGACTCACCTACCCCACTCAGCCTCACACCCAGCCAACACAGTGAGTGAGCACTGTCTCGTCGCATCCAGTTTATATTTCATGTATTTGATATTGCAAGTAGCTCTTCACTTTGGAACCTCCAAATATCATTCCAACTCAGATCACTGTTGACGTGTCTGAGTCAAAGGGTATTAGCTGACCGGGCATGGTGGCTCCCACCTTTAATTCCAGCACTTTGGAAGGCCAAGGCAGGCAGATCACTTGAGGCCAGGAGTTTGAGACCAGCCTGGCCAACATGGTGAAACCCCATCTCTACTAAAAATACAAAAATTAGCTAGGCATGGTACATGCTTGTAGTCCCAACTACTTGGGAGGCTGAGGCAGGAGGATTACTTGAACCTGGGAGGCAGAGGTGCAGTGAGACAGGATCACACCACTGCACTCCAGCCTGTGCAACAGAATGAAACTCTGTTTTTAAAAAAGACAAAAAGTTATGCCAGGTGTGGTGGCTCACTCCTGTAATCCCAGCACTTTGGGAGACCGAGGCGGGCAGATCATGAGGTCAGGAGATGGAGACCATCCTGGCTAACATGGTGAAACCCCGTCTCTACTAAAAATATAAAAAATTACCTGGGTATGGTGGCATGCACCTGTAATCCCAGCTACTTGGAAGCTGAGGCAGGAGAGTCGCTTGAACCCAGAAGGCAGAGGTTGCAGCGTGCCAAGATCATGCCACTGCACTCTAGCCTGGGTCACATAGCGAGACTCCGTCTCACAAAGAATATATGTAGTTTGTACTTTTATCATTTTATGTTTCTTTTTGAGATTGGGTCTTGCTCTGTCACTCAGGCTGGAGTGCAGTGAAGAGATCATGGCTCACTGCAGCCTTGAATTCCTGGACTCAGACGATCCTCCTGCTTCCCCCTTTCAAGTAGCTGGGACTACAGGTGTGCACATATGTTTGCATTAGCCAAATGCCTGGCTAATTTTTTATAGAAACGGAATCTCACCATGTTACCCAGGCAGGTCTCGAACTCCTGGCTTCAAGCAGTTCTCCTGCTTCAGCCTCCCAAAGTGCTGCGATTATAGGCATGAGTCACTGTGCCTAGCCTTTTGTCCTCCTTATTATAGAGAAAGTGATATCTCAGGGAGAAATGGAGCCAGGTCAGGAGAGAGAATTTGTGATTCATTCAAGTCCTCCTTGAAGTGTAAACAGTAGTCACAAGGAAGATGAAGGTGGACTTTTGCTTAATGTGAGTCAGGGAAGGGATGGGATGTTAGGATTAATGCCTGTAGGTTTAATGCAGCCAAAACTGCTGTTATTTTTAGACTTTTTTTTTTTTTTTTGAGACAGTTTATCTCTGTCACCCGGGCTGGAGTGCAGTGGTGCGATCTCAGCTCACTGCAACCTCCACCTCCCAGGTTCAAGCGATTCTTGTGCCTCAGCCTCCCAAGTAGCTGAGATTATAGGTATGTGTCACCACACCCAGCTAATTTTTGTAATTTTAGTACAAATGGGGTTTCACCATGTTGGCCAGGCTGGTATAGAACTCCTGACCTCAGGTGATCCACCTGCCTCAGCCTCCCACAATGCTGGTATTACAGACGTGAGTCACTGCGCCCAGTCCCTGTATATGTGTTATCTATCACAAGCATGGTCATGAGGGCCACTTGATTTTTTTCCTTCAGCTGTCTCATCTAGCTATTTAGGAGGTTCTAGACAGTTTTTCTTAGTACCTTTAAAAATATATATTATTACATTTTTTGGCCAATCTGCGTTGCAAATAACTTTCCTAAGCGTGTCATTTGTCTACCCACTGACATGCCAGTGCCTCTTTTCACACCCCCAGCTCCACGATGAGGTTGTAGTACAGGTCCTGCTGTCAGTGTATTCCATGAAGGCCCTCAGTTAATCTCCACGACCGTCCTGTGCAGGAGTCCCTCTTGTTATCCCTACTGGATGAGGATCCTGAGCCTCCAAGTGGTTTTATGACCTGCTGCAAGCACCTGGTAGGGCGGGCTTCACACACAGACCTGTCCGATTTCAGAGCCCATGAGATGCTTACCCATGCCTTACCCTGTCTGCCCTTCTTCCATGCCATAGACAAGGAGCTAAGCATCTCAGCATGGTGCTCTGCCCTGGGTAGCTCTTGTCTCTGTGGTCTCTCTAATTCTGCCCAGGAGAGGGGAGGGCAGCATAGAGGGCTGAGGATGACGGGGTGGTTTGAGGGTTGGAGTTATAGAGGCTTTCCTGCTTCCAAAGGAGGGAATATGGTAATTAGAAGAATTCTGGAGGCCAGGCACAATGGCTCACACCTGCAATCCCAGCACTTCGGGAGGCTGAGGTGGGCTAATCTCTGGAGGTCAGGAATTCTCGACCAGCCTGGCCAATATGGTGAAACCTTGTCTCTACTAAAAATATAAAAATCAGCCAGGTGTGGGGATGCACAGCTATAATCCCAGCTACTCTGGAGGCTGAGGCAGGAGGATCACTTGAACAAGGGAGATAGAGGTTGCAGTGAGCTGAGATCGTACCACTGCACTCAAGCCTGGGCAACAGAGTGAGACTGTCCAAAAAAAGTAAAAAACTAAAAAATTTTAAAAAACAAGGAATTCTGGAAAGGAGAAGGCTTAGTCTTTTAAACTGTGAGCACTTAATTCAAACACGTTGGCCCTCTGCCTCCTAATCCTAGAAATCATATTCTTGACCTCCTTTTCTGTGCCAGAGCCCCACCATTGAAGCTGGGCTAGAAGGCAGACACTCTCTATTCTGCTTTGTAAATTCAGCTTCCTGTGGAGGCCAGGCAGGCAGCATAGGGAGGCAGTGGGCGGGGTAAGAGATATCGAGGAGCAGAGGGACTGACAGACTGCAGTGATGCTCCTGTCAGTCTAAAGGGGGCAGCCTCCGCTCTGCCCGGCCTGTTGAAGTCATGGGCAGCAAGGGCTCTTTGCAGCTGGATCCTCTGATAGCCCAAGAGAAGTCAGAACTGTGTTTTTCCATGATCTCTTCTAGTTTAAAATGTTGGCTACTGTCCAGGTGCCATGGTTTATGCGTATAATCCCAGTGCTTTGGTTGAGCCCAGGAGTTCGAGATTAGCCTCAGCAATATAGTAAGACCCTGTCTCTACAAAGTAAGTTTAAAAATTAGCCAGGTGTGGTGCACGCCTGTAGTCTCAGCTACTCACTCAGGAGGCTGAGGCAAGAGGTTTGCTTGAGCCCAGGTGTTTGGCACCACTGCACTCTAGCCTGGGCAATAGCAATACCCTGTCTCTAAAAAATAAAAATAGCTGGGTGAGTGGGCTCATGCCTGTAATCCCAGCTCTTTTGCTGAGGCCAGCAGATCACTTGAGGTCATGAATTTGAGACCAACCTGGCCAACACGGTGAAACCCCATTTCTATTAAAAATACAAAAATTTAGCCAGGCATGGTGGTGGATGCCAGCTACTTGGGAGGCTGAAGCAGGAGAATCGCTTAAACCCAGGAAGCGGAGGTTGCAGTGAGCGGAGATCACACCACTGCACTCCAGGCTGGGCGACAGAGCGAGACTCTCAAACAAAAACAAAGCCACTGAAAACAAAGCATGTGTCCGAGTTGCTTGGGACTTTCCACCTTGGTCACAGCCCTTTCTTTTTGTAAATGTAAAGAGAATTCTACTTCTAGCTTGTGAAAAGGAAGGCTTTTGTGACCTGATATGTCCTTCTTCCAATTTCACCCTTTCCCCGGGGGAGAGACAGTTTTGGTGGGTTGGGGTGTTGGCAGCAGAACAGCCCCTTGACTTCTCGCCCAGGCTGCACCTCCAGCGGCTGGTGAGCAGTGAGAGCCAGAGGCGCCTGCTGGTGGGGAAGCTGCAGGCCCTTGTGGAGGAGGCCTTTGGGAGCCAGCTGCAAAACAGGGATGTCCTCAACCCAGTCTACATGGAGAGGATCCTCCTGCTGAGACAGGTTGGTGTCAGGGGTCTGGGAGACTGAGGAAGGGGGTACTGGGTGCCCCAATTCCTCCTCCCTTCCAGAGTTCTGTTCCTAGTTCATTCAGACTTCTTGCTTCCCCAGGGTCACATTTGCCGCCTGCAGGACTTGGTGTCCCCAGTGTACTCCTACCTGTGGACTCGCCCTGCGGTGGGTCGAGCGCAGCTGGATGCCATCTCAGAGAAGGTGGATGTGATTGCCAAGCGTGTGCTGGGGTGAGTACCCGTAGGCTGAGCTCTGGGTTCCACAGCCTCCTTCCCTCGCTCCCTGCCATGGCCCCCTTTCTTCCTTCAGGGCTGGGCTGTTGGGCCCCCGGCACAACCCCATGGCTAGTGAAGAAGTAACCCTTCACTGGCTTTCATTGGTGAGGAGGGCTTACCCAGAAGACCCAGGCTTTCCGTGGACGTAGGCCTGTGTTCACTGCTTTCCCCAACATGGGTTGCATCCCAGCTGTGCCACGTACTCACCAGTTTATGTCACCTTGCTCAGGCAGCTTCCCTTTGGCCAAGTTACTGCACCTGTTTGAGCTTCCTTTTCCTTCTTGGTAAGAGAGAGATGATGCTAATTCTTATTGTAACAGTAATGACTTTCAATTACAAACACAACCAAAGCTGGCTTAGGCAAGAGAGGAATGATTGCTTATGTAACTGCAGAGGCTAGAAGATGGGCTGCCTGAAGCACAGCTTAATGCAGGAGTTGGTACTCCGGTACCAAGATTCACTTTCTCTCTCTGCCTTTCGCCTTCTGCCCCCACTCCTCCATGCGGACCATGCTTCCCGCAGAAGCTCTGTGTTAGGTAACTAGAGGGCAGGTTTCTCCACCAGACAAAAGAAATGACAGCGCATATCCCCTGTGGAATTTCTCCCTTACGTAGCAATCTGCAGGAAGCAGCTCAGGGCTCATCCTCCCACCTCAGCCTCTTTGAGTAACTGGGACTACAGACTGCCACACCAGCTAATTTTTTTATTTTTTTATTTTTTGGAGAGATGAGGTCTTGCCATGTTGCCCAGGCTGGTCTCAAACTCCCAGGCCCAAGTGATCTTCATGCCTCAGCCTCCCAGAGTGCTGGGATTACAAGTGTGAGCCATGGTGCCTGGCCGGAGCCTATTAGTTATAATTCATCAGGATTCAGTGTCCTAACTGCCCATCTCCACCATGAGGCTGGATTTCAGATTTGCTCTGGGACTCCCTTTTGAGTCAGGAAAGCTGATATACAAATGTTCAGGAGCTGCCAGATCACTAGAAATCCCTTCTGTGCCCATACCAAGGTCTGGGCCAGCTCTAGCGGGTCTGGAACTGCCATTGTTCCTGGCCTGGGGCCTGGGCCCTGTCATTCTTTCATCAGTTCCCCCCTGCAGCCTGCTTCCCCGCAGTGCCATTGGAGAGAGTGTCTGCTTTTTTCGCACATTATATTTTATATATTCAGTATTTCATCTCCTGGATTTTGTAAATAGCAGTACTCACGTGACCCAGTTAATAATTGTCTCAGTCCGCGGGGTTGCTATAGCAAATACCATAGACTAGGGCTTCAGCAGCAGACGTTTATTTCTCATAGGTCTAGAGGCTAGAAGTCCAGGTCAAGGTGCCGCCAATTCGGTACGTGGTGAGGGCCTTGTTCCTGGGCCCTTCCCTTTTCCAGCCCTTCGCTGTTTCCTCATATGGTGGAGGGATGAGGGACCTCTCTGGGGTGTCTTTTGTAAAGGAACTCATCTGTGTATGAGGGCTCTGCCTGAATGACCTGATCACTTCCCAAAGGCCACACCTCTGAATACTGTCACCTTGGGGGTTGAAATTTCAACATTTAGGGGAACACAAACATTCAGAACATAGAGATGATGCAATAAGAACGATCACCCTTGTCTGAAACTGAAACTCATCTGCTCCATTGCTGATAGTAAGGAAATCTGTCTGCACTAAAAGGCTGTTTCTTCAAATCACTTATGAACCCAGTTCCCTGAGCCAGAAGTGGTCCATACTGAGTTGACTTTGGAATGCAGTTGCCTGGACCGTGTTTGGGCAGGCAGGGTCAGAATTGGCATCACAGGTCATCTGGACCAGGAAGATGTCCAGCCCAGTTCCTCTTCCATGTCTTCATTGTGGAATCTCCAGTAATAACTGAGGGGAGGCTGGGCACTGTGGCTCGTTCCTGTAATCTCAGTATTCTGGGAGGGTGAATGGGGAGGATCACTTGAAGCCAGGAGTTTGAGACCAGCCTGGGTAACATACCTTGACCCCATCGTTACAAAAAGTAAAAATAAAATTAGCTAGGTATGCTGGCAGGCACCTGTGGTCCCAGCTACTGAGAAGGCTAAGGTGGGAGGATCATTTGAGCACAGGAGTTTGAGGCTGCAGTGAACTATGATCATACTACTGCAATTCAGCCTGGGTGACAGAGCAAGACCCTGTCTCTCAAAATAATAATAGTAATTATTATTATTTTTAAAAACTTAGAGGAACTTGGAAGTTGCAGTGAAATACACTCAACCCCGTCCTATTCTCATCTCTTGACCTTAACTCAGAATCAGGGCTGGGGCAAATTTGTTGCAAGTCCAGCTCTAACTGAATAGAGAATTTCCCCTGAAACTAAAGCTTTTGCAGAGAGGATCTTGCTCCGCTGGACTGCCAGGATGTGGGGGATGGTTGCTGGCCCCTTTGAATTTAGATGCTAGGGTGTTTCAATTTGTGGAAGAAGGGTTGTGGCAAGTTGGTGGTGGGGCCATTACTGGAGCTGGGTGGGGCCTTCTGATTTCTTCTGTTCTCAGCTATATCTCCAAAGAAGTCTCCCTCTACAAATCTCAAAGCTATATTTCAGATAATTTCCCAGAGATTATCCATTATTCTATGTCAAATCTATTCCTAAGTTTCTTTTTTGTTGTTCTTCCTGCAAGCAGACCTAAGTTTCTTTTTAGCTCCTTTTGTAATATCTCAAAGCTCATGAATGTACTTAAGGTAACTAATTTTTTAAAACTTTAAATTCAAATATAAAATGTAATACTTGGCCGGATGCATTGGCTCACGTCTGTAATCACAGCACTTTGGGAGGCCAAGGCGGGCAGATCACCTGAGGTCAGGAGTTCAAGACCAGCCTAACCAACATGGTGAAACCCCATCTCTACTAAAAATACAAAAATACTAGCCACAGGAAGTGGCACATGCTTGTAATCCCAGCTACTTGGAAGGATGAGGCAGGAGAATCACTTGAACCCAGGAGGTAGAGGTTTCAGTGAGCCGAGATTGTGCCATTGCACTGCAGCCTGGGCAACAGAGTGAGACTCCATCTCAAAAAAAAGATGTAGTACTTCTGAGTATTTATCATGTGTTCAGGCACTTGGTGCTTTATAAGTTTTAACTCTTTATGATAGCCCTGGGGAGGACAAATACTATTATTTATTTATTT